TTGTGCCTACCCAGACCATAATTTGCTGGCTTGGATATTTTCTTCTCACATTGTTAAACCATCACATTTTCAGCAGCATAACAAGACCATCTCTAGTCTGCTCCTCTGACCTCAGTCCCAATAATCCGTCATGACATTTCTCCTCTCCACATTTTATTTTTTAAGGAGTCATGGCACGGCATGATAAAAGAATAACGGCAGCCGCTTGCTCATGTTGCAGAAGTACAGGAAATGCAGAAGAGGTTTGGGAGGCAAGGGTTAAAAAATATGCCCAGATGACACCAAAAAATGAAGACCCAACCAAAATAGCCAAGGTAACTGCATACAAATAATGGCCCATATTCAGTCAGTGTGTCAAAGTCAAACCGCTGATCCCGGATCAGTTTTTAAGATCATAAATAATATTGTATGGACAGGTGGGGACCTGATACAAGATCAGCACGCAGATGCTTTGTGAATACGGAACAGTTTGCCTTTTTCTATAGACTTTGATCGTTTTTAATGCTGTATGTATCAATATATGATCATATTTATTTTAGATTTTTAGTTTGAGACTGGTGAGGATTCCTTCAGTCAGAAGTTACATGTTGAAAAGATGCAGGTGGAGTGCCAAAAAAGGGACCGAACATAAGTTCCCTACAAGACAAAATGAAAAGGACTGAAAAAGAGAGAACATTTTATGAAACAAGGCACCAAGGACATCTTAAAACAGTATCCAGCACTCCGTTTGTCAGCCATTGTAAGTAGACAAAAAGTCTGATAGAAAGAAATTGTAAAAAACACAACTAATGTAACATAGCCAAGTATAGTCATCTGAATCCAAGATATATTGATGATGCATTATAAACAAATTTACTCAGATTTCCTCCGAGATGAGATGTGGACCGATGGATGTGGACAGAAACATTCTGTCCGGATTTGGCGCAATGGCCGACAAAATCATTGCAGAAATGGAGAGGAGGGGTATGGCTGTGGAGTTGCTGAATCTCTACAAGACTGCACTTCTCTCACACATGGAGGAGGCTCACAAAGTTTTTTTTAAATCAATGTTACTGCATGTAAAATGTACCCTTAAAAGAATGCATCCGTTCTAATTCTATTGATTCTAATGCATCCTTTTTATTACACACCCACCAATTTAAGGTCTGAAGATCACTGCAGCCATTTTGCTCCTCCCCTACCTCTTCAAAGAAGATCCAAGTGGGCTGTATGTCACAGACAGGGTATGTATTTCCCAGAAGAGAAATAAATAAATGCATAGTTAGTAATACTGTAATGTGTACTGTGCTCAGTTGTTAATTTACTGTTTGAAATATGACTTGAGTAATCTTAATTTAAATTTGTTTTACTTCTTACAGTGTGTAAAGTTCCCATCACCTACCATAAGAATAGAGGGGAATCCCTTTGCGGATGAGAGCCAGGGGACATCTCCATGGGATTGGGAGTGGCAATGAGGGTCCATTTCCTTTTTAATATTGAGTATGCAGCATCAGTGAAAAGCACTGCTGGTCATTCAGAAATGTGTTCTGGGAATTGATGAGGGGGATAAATTACCAACAAATGTTGTACGAATGGCAAACTTTTTGCTGTAGAGAGCGATAAGGGAGATTTCTGTAACTTTTAAAGTCAATAAAATGAATTTGTGAATTCACAAGTTTGCCACTCAATGTTATTTGTATTATTATTGTTAATATTATTATTATTATTATTCATAATATAATACATGGGACATAAGGTTCCTATAGGAACCTTAACGCCCTAAAAGGTTCCTCAGGGAAAAGGTTCCTGGAAGCACCTTTAGGGGTTCCGCTGGTGTTGCAATCTGAGGAACCCCTAAAGGTGCCTCCAGGAACCTTTTCTTTTTAGAGTGTGTAATTAAACAGTTTTTTGGGGGGAGGGGGGATGTTTCTTTGGGACAATCAGGTGACATCCTGACAACTGATACACAGAAATATTCTTACAACGTTCCCATGAAACGTGTCTAGAAAATGTATATCTTATATTCTGAGAACATGGCAACCATGTTCTGTGTATATTTAGTGTGATGTTGATGGAATATTATCCTAACCCACAGAAAACTGGACACATGAATGTTCTTGCAACATTCCCATGAAAAGTGTCTAGAGAATGTAAACTCAGCAAAAAAAGAAACGTCCTCTCACTGTCAACTGCGTTTATTTTCAGCAAACTTAACATGTGTAAATATTTGTATGAACATAACAAAATTCAACAACTGAGACATAAACTGAACAAGTTCCACAGACATGTGACTAACAGAAATGGAATAATGTGTCCCTGAACAAAGGGGGAGTCAAAATAAATCAAAAGTAACAGTCAATATCTGGTGTGGCCACCAGCTGCATTAAGTACTGCAGTGAATCTCCTCCTCATGGACTGCACCAGATTTGCCAGTTCTTGCTGTGAGATGTTACCCCACTCTTCCACCAAGGCACCTGCAAGTTCCCAGACATTTCTGGGGGGAATGGCCCTAGCCCTCACCCTCCGATCCAACAGGTTCCAGACGTGCTCAATGGGATTGAGATCCGGGCTCTTCGCTGGCCATGGCAGAACACTGACATTCCTGTCTTGCAGGAAATCACGCACAGAACGAGCAGTATGGCTGGTGGCATTGTCATGCTGGAGGGTCATGTCAGGATGAGCCTGCAGGAAGGGTAGCACATGAGGGAGGAAGATGTCTTCCCTGTAACGCACAGCATTGAGATTGCCTGCAATTACAACAAGCTCAGTCCGATGATGCTGTGACACACCGCCCCAGACCACGACTCGTCAGGTGAAGAGCACTTTTTGCCAGTTCTGTCTGGTCCAGCGACGGTGGGTTTGTGCCTATAGACGACGTTGTTGCCGGTGATGTCTGGTGAGGACCTGACTTACAACATGCCTACAAGCCCTCAGTCCAGCCTCTCTCAGCCTATTGCAGACAGTCTGAGCACTGATGGAGGGATTGTGCGTTCCTGGTGTAACTCGGGCAGTTGTTGTTGCCATCCTGTACCTGTCTCGCAGGTGTGATGTTCGGATGTACCAATCCTGTGCAGGTGTTGTTACGTGGTCTGCCACTGTGAGGACGATCAGCTGTCCGTCCTGTCTCCCTGTAGCGCTGTCTTAGGCTGTCTCACAGTACGGACATTGCAATTTATTGCCCTGGCCACATCTGCAGTCCTCATGCCTCCTTGCAGCATGCCTAAGGCACGTTCACGCAGATGAGCAGGGACCCTGGGCATCTTTCTTTGGTGTTTTTCAGAGTCAGTAGAAAGGCCTCTTTAGTGTCCTAAGTTTTCATAACTGTGACCTTAATTGCCTACCGTCTGTAAGCTGTTAGTGTCTTAACGATCGTTCCACAGGTGCATGTTCATTAATTGTGGTCCTCTGTAGCTCAGCTGGTAGAGCACAGCGCTTGTAACGCCAGGGTAGTGGGTTCGTTCCCCGGGACCACCCATACACAAAAAAAAATATGTATGCACGCATGACTGTAAGTCGCTTTGGATAAAAGCGTCTGCTAAATGGCTTATTATTATTTATGGTTCATTGAACAAGCATGGGAAACAGTGTTTAAACCCTTTACAATGAAGATCTGTGAAGTTATTTGGATTTTTACAAATTATCTTTGAAAGACAGGGTCCTGAAAAAGGGACGTTTCTTTTTTTGCTGAGTTTATATCTTATGTTCTGAGAACATGGCAACCATGTTCTGTGTATGTTTGGTAGGACGTTGATGATATAGTCAGCTAACCCTCTGAAAACTGGACACATGAATGTTCTTGCAACGTTCCCATGAAACGTGTAAAGAACATTCATATCTTAAATTCTGAGAACAGGGTAACCACATTCTGGGTAAGTTCTATTTGATATTAAGGGAATGGTCCCTTGAAAACATTCCTTGCACATCACAGGAACATTCCTATGAAAACGTTGGCTAGTGACCTAATAAGACTCTTAAGGGAACGTTCTCTAAAGTTGTGGGAACATTTGTTTTTAACTGGGTGTAACCACCTATGCAACTACAAAGTCTACAAATGCATGAATGACTTCCAGTAATGAAATTGTGGACAATTAAAAGTATGCTTCCTGTAGGCTACTGTGCTGGTACAACCAGAGGCCTGAATCCCTCCCAAACACTATTGGTCATTTTTCCTTCCATTTGGACATTATGAAGTCATCTGATCATATTATACACATACTTGTTTACTCAGTCACAGAACACACAAATGCCTGGCTATTGCCAAAAGGTGAGAACTCATCATTGTTATCAGCTCATCTCGTTGTAGATCATTGTGTCTGGCTATGACTTTATTTCCCACGCCCCCATTACCTGCAGAAACACAGCTCATGCATCAATATGACAAGTCAAGAGGACAGACCATTGGATTTAACGTTACTTAGTTCTTCTGTCTTAACTTTTGTGTGTGCCTTGTTCGTTCATGCATAAGTCCGTGTGTGTGCGTCAGAACATTGTTATCGTACACCTGGGGCACGATGTCCTTATCTATTAGGTTAAATGCATAATAGCAGGTTTAAAGTCTGATTACTGACCACCAGTATATCTCATCAGCTGTTTCTGTTGTGCTCTTTGTGTGTATTTATTTTTTCATTAAAATGTTTGTTGGCTTGGAGGATAGATTACACAGAAGCAAAGTTGACATCGTTGTAAAAAAATGAAAGATTTAGATCTATACCGTGTTTTCAACCGAAGCTGTGTCATCACGGCTTATCTATCTTGGGTTTACAGTGCAAAAAGGTGGAACGGCCCATATACTGCATGATGCAAAACATCTATATGGTCAGGGTTAACCATTACTTCACCCCAAAGTTAGAGGTTGACACACCTCCACACAGTTCACCTGTTTAGTGAAGTACTGTGTTGTGTGTGTGTGTGCCTTCGAGTTTCTCCAAAATTGGTTGAGGATTACTTGTCCTTGTCTGCCCTCTAATGGACTATCGATGTTGCATACCGTTCTAATAAGCAATTTCTGAAGCCATATTTGAACTGCTAATAACCTATTTTTGACCACAGGTTAATTTATTAATGAAAATAATCAACACATTTTCACACAGGTATGTGAATAATACAGTCGTAACTTTTTATCCTAATGACAACACGCTAGTCACAGTGATTCGACAGAAAAAGTGATCTTGAACACAATGAAACTTCAAACAGTTTCCTAACATAAGAAAACAGACAGTACTATATATATGTTAGTCACAAATAAAACATGGTATTAACAATGCATAGAAACCTAATTATGTTTACAAGGTCACTGCATGATGAAAGTACTTGACTATTGACAACAGTGCATGTTCATATCTTGTCTATTAGTATGGATAACATGTGTTTTAATGATAAAAAAAAGGGGGTTTGAACCTCTTAGTAATCATCAATAACTGTTACAAAGATTAATAAATGGTCATTGGTCAACATTAGACTGAAGGAGTAGGCGTTACCAGGGCAGTATCATCAGAGTGAATTGTGCGATGGGTTAGACTAGGCATATATTGGCATTAAAACACACATTTATAATAATATCAACAATATCTACCTCACCTGTCATAACGAAAAAATAAATAAATAAATAAATCAAAAGTATTAATAAAAACATAATTTAGGAAGGTTTGTTGTCCTTTGTTTCAGTATTCCCTACAGCAGTGTCTTATTAAACTTACTAGACTTCTGCTATCTTAAATAATCTTAAATAAACCATCAACCTTTAATCCAACTTAACCTTGACCCTTTTCTTAACTTAAATAATTAACTTTTCCTCATTCACATTCCAACTGAAACCTACTTAATGCCATCTTAAGACTTATATTACCACATTCCAACCCCCAGGTTACACCTTTACATAATCACTCCTTCCACTGCTCCCTGTGCTTGTTTACTTCCTCCTTCCTCCCCCTTTACCTCTCCTCTCTAGGCTCCTTCCCACCTTCCCTCCCAACCCCCACTCTTCCCAACACTGCCTCTTTCCAGGTGGAGGTCTAGGAGCTGATGATCTGTCCAGACCAGGTCTCATGCTTGGTTCCTGGGGCCAAGTGGGTGATGACAACCTCCATTGCCTGGATCTTCTGGTTCTTGGGGGGGATGGAACAGACTTTGTACGTGACCTCGTCACCTTCCATCGGCACGTATTCTCCATCGATACTAAAAAGGGAGAGGGGGAGAAAATTATTATGAGAGAATCCAGGCCTCTCTAGGACATTAAAGTTTATAAATATATGATAAAGCAATAAGGTGGATTGTGATTATAAAATATGATATTAGGTACAACGCATATTGGCATAACTCTTCTCAGTCCCAAAGTGTGTTGTAGATTATTATTTAATCTTAATGCTTCAGAATCACTCACTCAGAGATGTGTACAAATATGTCCTCTCCACCGTTGGAGGGCTTTATAAAGCCATGACCCTGGGACCTGTAGAAGGTCTTACACACACCTTTATACACTGGGCCTGATCTGGCCCGCACCGTACTGAGAAAGACACACAGGAGAGAAACAAACAACATTAACCCATGCAGGCTATTCTCAGGGCTTGCATCCAAAATGGCTCCCTAGTCCCTGATAGTGACCAGAGCCTCATAGATCACACTCAAGGCCATGTACAAACACACACACACTCACTCACTCTACCACCACAGATTATTCCTACTCACGCTGAGTATGTGCGGGTGCGTTTGGTGGGCAGAGGGCTGGGCAGCTCGCCTGGCATCAGGGGGGGTTTCCTTTCCCTCTCCCACACCCGACTTCCCTCCCTGAGGAAGGGGAAGGACAGGGAGAGAGGGGTGCGTGGGGAGCTCAGCGGCCGTGGGGGATCGGAAGGGGACGAGGGGTCTGAATCAGCCATCTCTGTGGGGCTCCCCCTGGGGGTGTGGAGCTCTGTGGGAGAAGCTGCCTCAGCCTCGGGTGGGTCACAGCTGGGGAGACAGACCTAGACTGCCTGCATGATAAGGGTGATGGGTGGTGTGTCTGTGGTGGTGGTGGTTCAGGATGCGTCTGGAAGGCGGGATAATGGCGGAGCTTGGTGGTTTCCTGGAGAGAGCGAGAGAAGAAAGTAAGAAAGAAATAAACTCAGCAAAACAATAAAGTCCCTTTTTCAAGACCCTGTCTTTCAAAGATAATTTGTAAAAATGTCCCATGCTTGTTCAATGAACCATAAACAATTAATGAACATGCACCTGTGGAACGATCGTTAAGACACTAACAGCTTACAGACGGTAGGCAATTAAGGTCACAGTTATGAAAACTTAGGACACTAAAGAGGCCTTTCTACTGACTCTGAAAAACACCAAAAGAAAGATGCCCAGGGTCCCTGCTCATCTGCGTGAACGTGCCTTAGGCATGCTGCAAGGAGGCATGAGGACTGCAGATGTGGCCAGGGCAATAAATTGTTGTTGCCATCCTGTACCTGTCCGTACTGTGAGACGCCTAAGACAGCGCTACAGGGAGACAGGACGGACAGCTGATCGTCCTCGCAGTGGCAGACCACGTGTAACAACACCTGCACAGGATCGGTACATCCGAACATCACACCTGCGGGACAGGTACAGGATGGCAACAACAACTGCCCGAGTTACACCAGGAACGCACAATCCCTCCATCAGTGCTCAGACTGTCCGCAATAGACTGAGAGAGGCTGGACTGAGGGCTTGTAGGCCTGTTGTAAGGCAGGTCCTCACCAGACATCACCGGCAACAACGTTGCCTATGGGCACAAACCCACCGTCGCTGGACCAGACAGGACTGGCAAAAAGTGCTCTTCACCTGACGAGTCGCGGTTTTGTCTCACCAGGGGTGATGGTCGGATTCGCGTTTATCGTTGAAGGAATGAGCGTTACACCGAGGCCTGTACTCTGGAGCGGGATCGATTTGGAGGTGGAGGGTCCGTTATGGTCTGGGGCGGTGTGTCACAGCATCATTGGACTGAGCTTGTTGTCATTGCAGGCAATCTCAACGCTGTGCGTTACAGTGAAGACATCCTCCTCCCTCATGTGGTACCCTTCCTGCAGGCTCATCCTGACATGACCCTCCAGCATGACAATGCCACCAGCCATACTGCTCATTCTGTGTGTGATTTCCTGCAAGACAGGAATGTCAGTGTTCTGCCATGGCCAGCGAAGAGCCCGGATCCCAATCCCATTGAGCACGTCTGGGACCTGTTGGATCGGAGGGTGAAGGCTAGGGCCATTCCCCCCAGAAATTTCTGGGAACTTGCAGGTGCCTTGGTGAAAGAGTGGGGTAACATCTCACAGCAAGAACTTGCAAAACTGGTGCAGTCCACGAGGAGGAGATGCACTGCAGTACTTAATGCAGCTGGTGGCTACAGCAGATACTGACTGTTACTTTTGATTTTGACCCCCCCTTTGTTCAGGGACACATTATTCAATTTCTGTTAGTCACATGTCTGTGGAACTTGTTCAGTTTATGTCTCAGTTGTTGAATCCTGTTATGTTCATACAAATATTTACACATTAAGTTTGCTGAAAATAAACGCAGTTGACAGTGAGAGGACGTTTCTTTTTTTTCTCAGTTTAGAGAGAGAAATATATGAATAAATCCGAAAGACTGCAAAACAATAACAAGTGGGACAACAACACAATAAGACGCTCAGTGAAATAACAATAAGAAAGTCAGTGTTGGGGAGTAGTGAACTAGGCCACATGTAGTTCAACTAGTAATATAACTACATTTTGCAGAAGCTTGGTGGGAGTTGAAATACATTAAATCTTGGTATTGTTTTCAATAGTTAATTACTTTTCTGCCATGTACCGGTGTAGCTAACTACCACAGGAGGTTGGTGGCACCTTAATTGGGGAGGACGGGCTCATGGTAATGGCTGGAGCGGAATTAGTGGAATGGTATCAAATACATCAAAACACATGGTTTCCATGTGTTTGATGCCATTCCATTTACTCCGTTCCAACCATTATTATGAGCCGTCCTCCCCTCAGCAGCCTCCACTGTAATAGTAACTACTGGAACCAGTGGTGGAAAAAGTAGTCTATTGTCGTGCTTGAGTAAAAGTAAAGCTACCTTAATAGAAAATGACTCAAGTAAAAGTGAAAGTCACCCAGTAAAATACTTATTGAGTAAAGTCTATCTGGTTTTAAATATACTTAAGTACAGTGGTGGAAAAAGTACTCATACTTGACTAAAAGTAAAAAGTTTCATACTTGAGTAAAAAGTAAAAGCTATACATCAAATTCCTTATATTAAGCAAACCAGATGGCACAATTTTCTTTTTTCTTTACGGATAGACAGGGGCACACTCCAACACTCAGACATAATTTACAAAAACGCAGTATTTGTGTTTAGTGAGTCCGCCAGATCAGAGGCAGTAGGGATGACAACGCATTATATTGATATACAGTGCATTCAGAAAGTATTCAGACCCCTTCACTTTTTCCCAAAACATTTTACGTTACAGCCTTATTCTAAAATGGATAAAATTCATTTTTTTCCAATCAATCTACACACAATACCCCATAATTACAAAGCAAAAATAGTTTTTTTTGCCAATGTATTAAAAATAAAAAAACGAAATACCTTATTTACATATGTATTAAGACCCTTTGCTATGAGACTCGAAATTGAGCTCAGGTGCATCCTGTTTCCATTGATCATCCTTGAGATGTTTCTACAACTTGATTGGAGTCCACCTGTGGTAAATTCAATTGATTGGACATGATTTGGAAAGGCACACACCTGTCTATATAAGGTCCCACAGTTGACAGTTCATGTCAGAGGAATTGTCCGTAGAGCTCAGAGACAGGATTGTGTCAAGGCACAGATCTGGGGAAGGGTACCAAAACATTTCTGCAGCATTGAAGGTCCCCAAGAACACAGTGGCCTCCATCATTCTTAAATGGAAGAATATTGGAATCACTAAGACTCTTCCTAGAGCTGGCCGCCCGGCCAAACTGAGCAATCAGGGGAGAAGGGCCTTGGTCAGGGAGGTGACCAAGAACCCGATGGTCACGCTGACAGAGCTCCAGAGTTCCTCTGTGGAGATGGGAGAAACTTCCAGAAGGACAACCATCTCTGCAGCACTCCACCAGTCAGGCCTTTATGGTAGAGTGGCCAGACGGAAGCCACTCCTCAGTAAAAGGCACATGACAGCCCGCTTGGAGTTTGCCAAAAGGCACCTAAAGGAATCTCAGACCATGACAAACAAGATTCTCTGATTTGATGAAACGAAGATTGAACTCTTTGGCCTGAATGCCAAGCGTCACATCTGGAGGAAACCAGGCACTGCTCATTACATGGCCAATACCATCCCTGTGGGGATGTTTTTCAGCGGCAGGGACTGAGACTATTCAGGATCGAGGGAAAGATGAACGGAGCAAAGTACAAAGATCCTTGATGAAAACCTGCCCCAGAGCGCTCAGGACCTCAGACTGGGGCGAAGGTTCACCTTCCAACAGGACAACGACCCTGAGCATACAGCCAAGACATCGCAGGAGTGGCTTCGGGACAAGTCTCTGAATTTCCTTGAGTGGCCCAGCCAGAGCCCGGACTTGAACCCAATTTAACATCTCTGGAGAGACCTGAAAATAGCCGTACAGCGACGCTCCCCATCCAACCTGACAGAGCTTGAGAGGATCTGCAGAGAAGAATGGGAGAAACTCCACAAATACAGGTGTGCCAAGCTTGTAGTGTCATACCAAAGAAGACTCAAGGCTGTAATCGCTGCCAACGGTGCTTCAACGAAGTACTGAGTAAAGGGTCTGAATACTTATGTAAATGTGAATCCGTTTTTTTATTTCTTTTTTATACATTTTCAAAACAAATTCTAAACCTGTTTTTGCTTTGTCATTATGGGATATTGTGTGTAGATTGATGAGGGAAACAATGTAATCAATTTTAGAATAAGGCTGTAACTTAACAAAATTTGGAAAAAGTGAAGGGGTCTGAATACTTTATGAATGCACTGTATGCATGAATTGGACCATATTGCTGTCCTGCCTGAGCATATGAAACGTAACGAGCACTTTTGGGTGTCGGAAAAATGTATCAGAGTAAAAAGTACATAAAAGGTACATAAAAGACATACCCCAAGAGTGGAGTAAAAGTAAAAGTTGTCAAAAATGTAATAGTAAAGTACAGATACCCAAAAAAACTACTTACAGTGCCTTCAGAAAGTCAAGCCTAAATAAGTTCAGGAGTAGAAATGTGCTTAACAAGTCACATAATGAGTTGCATGGACTGTGTGCAATAATAGCATTTAACATGATTTTTTTTATGACTACCTCATCTCTCTACCCCACATACAGATAATTGTAAGGTCCCTCAGTCGAGGGATTCAACCACAAAGACCAGGGAGGTTTTCCAATGCCTGGCAAAGAAGGGAACATATTGGTAAATGGGTCAAAATAAAAAAGCAGACATTAAATATCCCTTTGAGCATGGTGAAGTTATTAATTACACCCAGTCACTACAAAGACACAGGCGTCCATCCTAACTCATTTGCAGGGAGGAAGGAAACCGCTCAGGGATTTCACCATGAGGCTAATCGTGACTTTAAAACAGTTAGAGTTTAATGGCTGTGATAGGAGAAAACTAAGGATGGATCAACAACATTGTAGTTACTCCACAATACTAACCTAATTGACAGAGTGAAAAGAAGGAAGCCTGTACAAAATAAAAAATATTCCAAAACATGCATCCTATTTGCAACAAGGCACTAAAGTAATACTGCAAAAAATGTGGCAAAGCAATTCACTTTTTGTCCTGAATACAAAGTGTTTGATGTTTGGGGCAAATCCAATAAAACAAATTACTCTCCATATTTTCAAACATAGTGGTGGCTGCATCATGTTATCATTAAGGACTGGGGAGTTTTTCAAGATAAAAAAAGAAAGTGAATGGAGGCTGGAGGTAAACACAGACAAAACCCTAGAGGAATACCTGGTCAGTCTGCTTTCCACCAGACACTGGGAGATGAATTCACCTTTCAGCAGGACAATAACCTAAAACAAGGCCAAATCTACATCGGAGTAGCTTACCAAGAAGACAGTGAATGTTCCTGAGTGGCC